ATTGGTTTCTGGATAACAGAGGTACATGCTTTGGGATCAATATAGTTACTCTATATTCTTTCAATCCTATACTGACTTTATCAAAATATTTGGGACACCTTAGACCTAAACTCCTTGTGCCCATTGATCACCTTTGAGTCTGCCTGAGGAGGCATCATATCTTATATGAACTATATTGCCACTTTAAAATTTTTGTCAAATTAATACCTGAATCTGTTAAAGCTTCACCAGGATATATTTTTTCCCTATTTTGCCAACCTTGTATTAAGTTGTTATATTATGTTAACCTTTAAGATAAGGTTGCTTAGAGGAGAGGTTGCCGGGCAATGTGACGTTTTCATTGAAGCAACCTTACCTAACAGCTCAACATAGGGTTACACTGTCTTGCAGCTCAGGAGATCTAGCCTTTATTTTCTGTTGCTAAGTAGTTCATGACCTTGCATAAGTCATTTTATGTCTCTGATTTACTTGCTAGACCTGTAAAAATAAATGATGTTCATCTCTTTAATAACATGCTGTAAAATTTACTAATAGGAAGTGCAATATAAGAGATGGCACTACTTTTGTGGTAGCCATGATGGCCTAAGGGTACAGGAGAATGAATGCTTGTAGCTCAAACTAGGATCTTTTCAGATCAGCTGATTTAGCTGGAAGAAGTTTTGCGTGCATGACTCCTTCTACAGGACTCACTGTTTATTATCTCTAAATATTGTGTCAGATTATACTTTCAGGGAAATTGAGTCAGACCCTGGGCAATTCCACAGAGGTAAAATTCTCCAATTTATTCTTTATAAAACAGCAGCTTTGGTTGCACTTATTTTCCTTTCCCCAGCAGAGCAGCCACAATTTTAAGACCTGTAGCATTTCTACTGGTTTCAAAATATTCCATAACATTTATGGTAGGTTTCACATCTTAAAAAGCAACCTTTTGGAACCAGCAGTGTGCCCTTATAACAGCAGTGTGCTTTCACGTGTATTAATTGTTGCGTTCAATAGGTGTGTGTGCACAACAACATAGTCTATTCTGTTGGGACAACCTGGGAAGATGGTTGCAGGGACTGCTCTTGCACTAGCATGCAGGATGATGTTACAGGACTTCAGGTGATGGAGTGTCACGACAAAGCATGTAACACGTTCTGCTCTCGGGTAAGTAACATTTAAACCAGCGCATTAGCCAGCAGAGCCCTGATGGGGGTCTGAAATGATTACTTTTAAACCTGCATGTTTGGAGAAACCAGAGAAAAATAGAAAATAAATGTTGTAGCAACGAATTATCTTGGGAACGGAGTCTAAGAGGGCCTGAGCATTACTGACTTTATTTTAGGGTTATTGTTTCAGGATCACATCCTGCTGCCAAGGAAATCAGTGACAAGTTTCATTTATATTTCAGTAAAAGGAGAACTGAAGTGTCTATCACTTACACCACTTGCACAATAAGTACTCGTGATGTCTGAAGTTCAGTTTCAAATGACTGCTTTAGCTGAAGTTCACTTTCTGAAATGAACTTTTCAGATCTGTCTCTTGCTCAGCTCTGCCCATTATAGCAGTAATAAGACCACATGCTGTGGCCTTTATTATGCTCAGACATCTGCTACATGCTATAAAATTATGTGGTCTACTTTTGGAAGCCCGCAAAGGAAGTATGAGCTGCTTTGTTATACTGACATAGCTGGTCAAGCAGGAGGGGACAGATATTGTGTACAAAATTTGGTAGAAGAATTCTGGAAGGGTCAAAGAAATTGGATAAAAGTCAGCAGCGCTTGCCAGTGTCATACGTTAGAACACTTTGACTGTAACATGATTTGTGCAAACAAAAGTTCAAAATGGTTTTAATATTTCCTTTAAACTACCCAATTTACATCCCTAACATTCCTCACCTTAACATAATATGGAAAATAAGGAAGTAAAAAAGTCACTGTAAAATTAAATGTGATGCCCTAGAGTTGCATTTTGCTCTGGTGTCTAGCACCTTGTACCCATAATTTGTGACCTTTCCCATGTCCTTACTTCATGAGGTTAGCATGCATGGGTCAGTCAGTGAAGTACGTGGAAATACACAGCTTGGGTCTGCAGAAAAAGCAGATGGCAGAAGGGGTTGCCCAGTCCAGCCAAGTGCTGACAAAACCCACACCCCTTACCAACTGCCATGTGGCCAGAGAGATTGTGCTGCAAACATCACAGGCTACCACAAATACATTTTGCCTCTTTGTAAAGCTTTTCAGTATATCCATGGATTAATTGAGATTGGTTTTGATGGTATTAGCCAATTCCGTTCAGGAAAAGGCGCATCTGACTTGAAGCAGCTCCTCCTTAGTCTGTGGTCTGGTGTATTCACAATCTGCAAGTTCAGTAGGCTGTGTGGGGTTCATTTGGAGCAACTAGATGTGGCTGTCTGGGATTTTGAGTATTCTCTGCAGGTCCCATGAAGTGAAGCCCAGAAGCAGCTAATATTATAATTTTTTTTTTTTTTTTTCAGGAGCAAAGGTGAACTACTTAGTGCTATTCAAATCTCCAAGTTGCTTTTAAAATGTTTATATTGGGCTATATATTGTATTAGTGTACACAAAACTCAAACAGTTGACCAAGCAGCAGGTGTTTCCAAATGTATGTTGTAACATCAATGCTTTCAGTGGTCCAGTAGCTGATAAAAGGCTGCATAAAAGTCTGATTAAAAGTTGGCCTGTGACTCAACAGACTGCCCTGGTGTCATCACAGATGACCAGCTGGAATTTGTCAGTGGGAAATGCAAAGGAGGGCATACTACAGCAATAACTGCAGACTCTTTTAACTAAGAGGGATGGGTGCTGCTTCTATGTCTGATTTACTGCACTGACTGGGATGCTGCTGTGATGTTCTGGGTTCTCTAGTGCTGCACGTGAGACAAGATTCACTTGGTTTTTTCTACTCCAGGAGTAGGTTTTTATCTTCTTACTGGATATACAGTGAATCTCCAAACAAACATGTCATGCACGTTCCCCTCCTCCACCAAGTCTCCAAATCTTTGCAGCCTGTTCCCACTGTTCTTCCTAAACCTTTTAACTGGTTTTAAGAAGTTTGCCTCTTTTTTTTTTTTTTTGGAATGAGTCCCCCTTATACAGTTGCATTCAGAACAGAGGCTAAGAAAAATCAACACATGGTATCTCTTCTTCTTCCTTCCTTCTGTTCAGTTACATTGGGAAGAAAGCTCTTCATTCACAAACCTTGTGTATACAGCTCTTAGAGGTTTCTTTTTCACTTTTGGAAAGACATCATTAATAATGTGTCTGGGAGTTAAAGACTGACCTTGCGCATAGAGCATATAGGTGCAGCACCTCACGGCTGAGTTAACGTTGTTGTAGAAACCCTGCATTGTCTGACTTGTTTTAAATTCTCATTTGGATTTACACTAATTGGTATTTTAAAACAGTTAATCATGCATTGAAATTTGATTATGAACGTTTCAGTTAAGCAAACCAATATCTGAAAAGCATTTGTCTTTTCTAAACTCTATTAAGCTAATTGTGCCTTGGTTTTCAAAGAATTTAAAATGCCTTAATACCATTATATTTCAATATCATTTAACTTATAGTCTCTGTATCAGAACAAGACTGGACAGCAAATACATATGTGCACCTGAGAAGGTGTGAACAAAATATAAACTTCTTTTGAATAATATTTTCCTCTGCTGTATCTTAAACACTGCATAATTCCCTAGGACCAGAGCAAAAAACCAATCCATTTAAAAAATCCAATAAACCAAACTAGTGCTCAGTCTCCAAGTGTAGAGTTTGGTGAGAAAGCTTGAGGGTGCCCAACGTCGTGAAAACCATGAGGGCAGATGTGAGAGCTTTCAGCTGTTGCAAGAGAACCCCTTCAACTTCCATTTGTAGAAGAGACTTGTTTCTAGTATGGCAATTATTATGAAATATTAGATCTAAAGTATCTGTCTGTGTTTTGGCTCATAGCCAAATCAAAAATTTGTTGTTCTAATAAAGTATCATTAATGCAGAGCTACAGTTTCTTGGCAAATCAGCCTTAAGCATTGCAGTGTCAAAAAGCTTTTTTAAAACAAACAAAAAGCCTTGGTGGAAATCATGCCAGTTCTTTTTGGGAATCTGCCATTTCTTCTGCTCCTTTAATGGTTATCAAAGTTGTACAACAAAAAGCGTAACTGTTGGAGAACGTGGATAACTCAGATTTTCTTTTTTCCTTTGCTGATTCCTGATTCAATGGATAGACATATCCAGGACCACAGAAGTTCTGTAATCCAGTTTGAACTGACCTTAAAGCTTATTTTTCAGTTCACATTAGATGGCATTGAAAGTTATATTGGCATTAAAGACATACTTTACTCACGGATCATTATTAAGATGATGTTCAAACTCTCTACTGCTCATGGTTATTAATTCCTTTGCCAGGTCTTATAGTTGTGCAGTATCATTGTCGACTGAGTCATCTAACTTCCATGAAAACAGCTTACAGTTTTTTATCTAGCTACACAAAAAGAGGAAAAACCCCATAACACATGTACTAGCTCCTTCACCTTGATGAAAGAACGTTTGCTACTGTTCTCCTGAGCGTGACAAAATCAAACGCGAATCATATCTGTAGTTTTAGAATGTAGAGAAAAGCTATGGAAAAAGAATGGTTGTTTCATTTAAATGAACCACTCCCACAGTTCTCTGAGGAGGGTAACTGCAAATACAGACTTCTCACTTGCAAGCCAGATGTGGATTTGCTTCGTTCTATGTCATTCTCCCCTTGCTTTTTCTGTCCTTTGCTATCTTTCTTTTATCAAAGTTTTGAGAAAGCAAGGAGATAATTGCTGCACTTATTGTATGTGCCACAAGGAGGAGTGGGGTCTCCTTCCTGGAACTTCACAAATTATTTCCCTGAGAGTGCGTCAGACCACATCCCTTCAGAGAACCACGGTGAGAAAATGGGTAACAGCTTTCAAAACACCTTAAAATCTCTAGTATACTAATGTGAAGGGAGCACTTGCTTAATTTCTGTCAATGTTCTTGGAGTTATGTACTTTGTAAATGATATAAAAGAGTGTGGCTTAAAGTATTAGATGATTTAAAGTATTAGATGATCATGAGAAGAAGGAAGCATAATTTTCTGGGATAAGTGTTTAAGACAAAGCCATTTGGCTAAGTGTGTGTAAATTAATTAGGCTAGATTTTCATGCGTCTTGATTAATTAAATTAAAATAAAGAACATTTGCACCCTGCATGCAAAGGCATAGTGAATGATGGTTATAATAGATGCTGACTACAAAAGCTATGGCTTTAATCTCCAATATTTCAAACAGATATTTTCCTTTGAAGTAGCGTGTAAAGCATGGTAGTAAATGGCTTAATAGTGTATATTAAGGAGGTCAAAGAAACTAATGTAAAAGGAAGACTGTTTGAATATTAGATGTGCAAGATCTCATTTAACAACCCTGAAAGTGTTGTTGGGAGGGTATTTCAAACATCCTGCTTACATTTTAAAGCGTAATTTATTATGGAAATTAGGAAATGATGCCTTAATGTTCTGGAGACTTGCAAACAGAGAATTAAGTCCTCACCTGGGGCAAATGAGTGCAGCTTCAGGGAAATCTCTAGAATTCTGCTGATTCATCACCACTGAAAATTTTGCTTTCAGCGTTTCAAGTTGATTTATATCCATCCTGCTGTTTTTTCTCTGTCTACTGTTGCCATTTTCATTCCGTTTGGTTCCTCCAACCCCCTCTGGGTACTACCATCTGAAGATGTAAAAGGCAAATACTGCAGCCTTTTTAAAAATAGTACATTGAGGAATGATCTTGGTTCTTTCTTTCCTGCTTTGTTGACCAAAAGGCAGCTGACAGAGTTTTCTGGCCAAAACCTTAGCACCCGTGAAAAAATGAACTAGGTATCCTGAGCAACACTAGGATGAAAGAGGGAGGGTGTAGATATGCCAGGCCATAGCCTCTGTGGACCCCTCCGGTAGCTTGAGTAGGCGATGGAACCAAAATGTGCATTCTCTGAAGGCTACAGAATTAATCTGCATTCCTCTTTCGTTTGTCACAAGCCAAGCTGTGGTTCAAAAGCGCGCAAAATTTCCCCCCTCCCATGTAGAATGCCTTAGTCCGTATGCTTTCACCCTCCATGCAGGAGATTTGCTTTATCCCCGCATTTCTGTTTGCTAAAACAGCCCGATCTGGCAGCATAACTGAGCACCTGTGAGGTTCTCCATCGCAGCTGTTGATGATCACTCCCAAGTCAGCCACGTGCATCTGTTCAAATTGCGAGGGATGCCTTGTGTTGCCTTATCCCTTACCTCCTCGGGCATGGGGAATTTTTTTTTTAGTCCTGTAGACTGTGATCTGCCTCTCCGTGTGATGGATGGTCAGACACTTACCGAGGGCGGCTTCTGAATTTTAATTCCCTGCTTGAAGTTTGAGACTGTGTTCAAAAAAAAACCAAAAATCAAACCAACCACCCAACCAAAAAAAAACTCCACCAAAAAAACATCTGCAAACGAATTTTAATTCCCTGCTTGAAGTTTGAGACTGTGTTCAAAAAAAAAAAACCAAAAAACAAAAAACCAAAAACCAAACCAACCACCCAACCAAAAAAAACTCCACCAAAAAAACCTCTGCAAACCATGGCAAACACTGGCATCTCTGTATGCTAATGTCCACATGCTAGAAAATGAAAAATAATGAAGGAAGAGATGGATACTGCTTACTCTGCCTAGTTCAGTCTAACGTTAACCTTCAACAACACAGTATCTGAGACTTCTTAGATGTTCATGTTTATAGATTGTGTAGCTCAGGAATAATCCTGGTGGCATATAGTCATTGTACAAAAGTCATCTAACTGGAAAAAACCAAAACAGAACAACAAACCCACAACCGAAAACGAACCCCACAATAAAAAACCACCTCAAAATGCACAATACATTTTCCTTTTCTTAGATGTAACCTTAACCATTACCACCTTTAGGATTAAACATAAAATAAAGCTTTCTGTATTCCTGTGGGCCCAACTTTCCGTGACATGAGGTACAAAAAGTGGGCTTTTCTGATGGTGAAGTATTTCTCATGCTGTGGAGGATCTGCAGCAGTGGGGAATCACTGTTCACCTTACTCCTTGAGTACAGATGGATGCTCTGGTTTTTGAGGAGCTTGTAGACTGCTGCAGTCTGCAGGGTTGTTTTTTTTTTTTTTTTTTTCTTCTGAGGCAGGTTTACAGTCTATGGTGGTTCAGGGGCTGTGTTAGGAGAAGCTCAGCAGATGCTGAGGTCAGGAGCTGTGATCTCCTGTGTTTCTTCCCCTTAGGAGTAAGAGCACCCAGGTTTTGAACACACCGAGCACCAAAAGGGCCACCCAGGCAGGTTGAACTATCCAAACCCAACACCTTTGTCAATGCCTTAGGGGTGTAAATCACCTGCAGTCGGCTGTGTAGCATCTTTTTGTTTGCACTTTAGAGGGCTCTGTTCCAACTAACTTATGCAGCTGGATTTTGCTTTATTCTGGACACAAACAGCTCATGGATTTTTACTTCTCTGAGTTTGCCACACAAATAGAAAGTTGTACCCAATACTTCAGATGCTTCAGACATATATTTAGCAGGTAAAAGTCATATAAAACAAAATGCTCAATAGCACAACTTTTTCTACAAAGCTAGGTCAAACTCTGGTATTACATTTTACAATATTATACAAAATGCATTTCCACGTGAAAGTCAACTGATTAGCAAACCTTGATAATGTGCTTCATATTGCAAATCAAGGACAGCTCATGAAGGGAGGGAGCAGTTGGGAATACTTCAGCGATTCAGTTCAAAGGAGTTGACCAAAATAAAATTATGCTTATTTTCGTTGACATTTTTCACATGAACAATATTTTCTTTGACAGAACATCTTTCCTTCAACTCTGTATTGAAAGCAGAGTTACATTTGGTCCCTTGGAGACTGCCTAGCTGTTAAATGTAGACTATGTTATTTCTAATTAGATTAAAGCTCCTTGCTTTCTTTCACTTAGCTATTCCAATTTTTGAATGTTTGGCTAGTTACTTCAGGAGATGAAAAGATGAAATGATCAGTCAAAACTGGTCCCTGGACTACATGTCTGACCAACCTCTTCCTTCTGCTTCAGCACAGGGCCCTCAGATATCTGAATGTACTCAAACTGAATGCTAACCTTCAATTCTCAGGGGTGGGAAGGGGAGTTGCAAGTGCTGATTAACATCCAAGATGACACTAAACCAATTTTTACCTTTCGTTTTCTTTTGTAAAATTGTATTATATATATAGAAAAGATTTTTTAAATGCTAAATAAAAATGGTCTTATTCTGTTTTCCATTTGCACTCCTCTGTAGGGCCATATTATTGTAAAGACTTGCACTTTACAATTTACTAATGCATAAAAGAAACTACTCACATATAATAAACTAACGTTCGGAAATGACTGCTGCTTAATGCTGTTGAAATAGCTCAGGGTCCTCTGAAAGCATTTTTCTTTTACCTCTTCCCTTTCTATTTCTGCCCGTTTAATGTCATTGTTCTTTTCTGTCTTGTGGCAAACCTTCGCACTATTACATATTTGAGCAGATCCTAGCAAAAGGAAGATGTTTCTGGGTGATTTCAGATTTCTTTCTTTCTTTTTTTTTTTTTGTCTAAATGTTGGGCACCATCAACATTTTCTGCACTCCAAGAAGGGGTGCTTTGTACCACACTAGAGAAGCTGATATCATCACAAGGCCAATTAGTTGATTGGCATGACCTGAGCAAGGATAGTACCTAGAGTTAGTCCATGTAGCTGAAGGGAATATGTCTTCAAAATATATATTAGGCAGGAACTAATGAGATAAGAATTTCTGCTCCTGATGTTGCGTGCATTTTAATTTATTTTTTCTGACGGATAATGTTAACCATTTAACAGGATGCTGGTCTGGGTGGACCACTTGTTTATTTTGTAATAGCAACGTGTGACCTTACAGTTCTGTTTTCAACCTCTTTCCATAAAAAGTTTCTAACATGAAATATTTATCCCAGTGTTTTAGGTTTAATCTTATTTATTTCCCATTCCTGGATCAGTCAGTCCTGTCCTTTTCTCCTACAGGGTTACAAGTATATCGTCCAAGAAGGGGAGTGTTGTGGGAGATGCCAGAAGACAGCCTGTGAGGAGCAGTTATTCTGGTCGCGGGGCGACACAGATCCTCGTTTGCATGAGGTGAGATGGCAGTGGCATGGATACTTCCTCTTCTAGCAGAAGTGCCCTGGAATTATTTTGTGTTCCATGGAAAGAGATGAAGAAGATATGAGCTATTTCTTCTATACATCAATCAGCGCCGAAAAACAACGTTTTTTGGGGCACGTGACTTGCTTGCTCAATTCTGACAAGCAAATCCTCTCAACCCTTTTTGGGCTCTAAGGAAGCAATAGTTTTGTGTAAAATTAGTAATTTCACAAATGGTAGTTCAAAAGAAAGTTAATGGGACGTGATGCTTCTCTGAGTGTAGGCTATTTGTTTAAATTATCCCAATTAATTTGTATTACTTGTATGGATAGCAGGCAGATGGGGTAGTGGATTGCTTGAATTTCACAGTCCTATTCAAATAGGATGTCCTTTTTGGTACACACTGAAATATCAGGAAGTAAATGAGGATAGAAACATGAATTATTCTCTGGTTGCTAAAGATGATTGCTGCAGGTCAGATCAGACTGCAGCGGTCCAGGCCAGACTTGTTTTCTGCTCAAAATAACAGTTTGTTTTCAGCAGTGTGCCTCTTCCCTTAGGATTCAAAGACCCAATGGGAAGTGCTTTCATGCAGGAGCCATTGAAAATGCACTGCAGATACCCTACTGCTCTGGAAAGCTATGCCGATATTTGTTTCTTTTCTGGCCTATGTTTTTAGTTCCTTCAGGCGATGCAGTTTGTTCTGTCCCTAACCCAACCACCCTTGGCAAACCTTCGCCTGCCCCAGTAGTAGTATTAAATTGCTTAATCCTATGCAGAGGTTTGGATTCAACAAAGGCAGGAACAGTAAGTTAAATATGTTGCAGATAATAGACCTTCCCCCCATCTTTTCTTCCCTAAGTGTTGTTCTTTATAACATGTCTGCATTGTCATCTACGTCTCACATTCACATATTTAATATTAACTTTTTAATTACTTCTTTTACAATAGCAGTCTGCTGCTGTCTTTTAAAAAATGTTAACATATCATTTTGCAAACTGCTTCTTCCCTGATTTTATCAAGAGCATTTCTTAATGTGGATCAATATTCTTTGCTTCATAAAACAAGACTTCAGAAGGCCTATTTTAATGTCCCACTGATTCTCCTGTCCTAATGGAGTAATAGATCCTTATACTCTCCTGTCTCTTTCTTGCTATGTCCTCTTTCAACTCTTTTGTCGTTAACAAAGAGCTCAGTATTTAACTCATGAGACAAAAGTATTCCCTAACTTCCTGAGCAAAGACGTTTGAATGTACTGGAGTTAGGGATCTGATTTTCACTTTGACTGTTCTCAAAGTGTATTCAAAGAGTGTTAACACTGGGGCAATACAGCTTCAAAACAGTGATCAGCTCCTCCCAGCACTGAACTGTGACAGCATCTTCTTTCTGGTCTATGGTGATGTCTCTTCCCAAAATAGCACTGGAAGTTCCCGCCTTCTCTGACCCATGGGTGGTTACAATCAGGAGGACTGTCAACAGGATCCAGTCTCTTCTACGTTTGCAAGTATTTTCAGGTCTAGAGCCTATTGCCAAAGGCTCCTTTGGGCTTAGTAGAGCTGGTTTGCAGCAGGTTCCAGCAGAAGGAGGGCCAGCTCAGCTACAGCGCAGCGCAGTGCAGTGCAGCCAGCTACCGGGTAACAAATGGAGATTTAAATCCAATTAAGAATTGCTTTTTCTTCTTCGTATGTCATTTCATCTGCCCCTTTATTTTTCACCTTAAGAGTAGTCCTGTAACTCTTATACTCTACAAACCAAGCAGCAAACTGTTCTATAAACTAATTGAATGGTAAGGATTTGTGGGGAACTGTTGAGTTCCTGACGCAGTAAACGTGCTTTTTGCAAACCAACACGTTGGCTGTGGTGGTATTCCCTCTATCCAGTGGCACAAATACCGCTGCCTATATCGAATCCTTTTACCATTTCCCATCAGGTCGGCACAGAGTGGCGATCCCCCTTCAACCATTGCATTATCAATGAGTGTGTCCGGGTGAACAATGAGGTTTTTGTGCAGCAAAAGAATGTTTCTTGCTCTCAAATGGATGTGCCTGACTGTCCAGAGGGAACTGAACTACGTTGTGACCAAATAACAGACTGCTGTCCTTCCTGCAGATGTGGTAAGGTTTTGTGTATGACAAATGGAATCACTAGAGAATGAATCATCTCATGTGTGGATGTCCTGTTTCTCAACAGCAATTTCAAAAGTGCGTGTTATGCAAGTATAGTATGACTTTAAAGCTCTCCTGTATCGTTTAGACATTGAGTACAATAGCACCTGCTGCTATTACTTTCTCTTTCTAACTGATGTTCACCGTCTCCTCTTGAACTACTTACTGTTGAAGCTATTTTACATTGTTTCAGAGAGACATGCCAGGCTATGTTTCTACAGCATTCTCAAGCATTTAAAAAAGAGCATCGGGAGATGCTTTTGGCCTGGGAAAGTTTAACGCTCTCCCCTGTGCCTGCTATGAACAGGGAGTTTGCATGCAGCCATGCTGTCTTCTGCGTGTCTCTGAGTGTTGTGGCTGTGGCCATTTCCTAGCATAGACTTCGGTCAAAAGTCCAAATCAGAAGATTTGGATAATTGGGCTCAGTCATGTTTAATTGACAAGTATATATGCAACCACAGGATGAGGAGCTAGCAGTGGGAGGATGAGGGGAAATACGCGCTGTAACTTGCAGGAAACCTGAGTGTGTCTTCTGAGAGTGCGAGGCTTGAACTGGAGGGGAAAACTTATATTGTGCCATGTACTTATTCAAAAACAGCTCAGCAAGAGATATTTGGAGGTGGAATGCAGGATAACTCTGACAAATTGCCACCTTTCAAGGTATAACATAAGAGGGCTCAGTTATGCCTCTTCATGGTGAAACTGGATCTAAATGTCCTCAGTTGGAACTGTAATAAGTAAAAAAACCCCATACCAATAGTTTATTCAATCTTGGTAATGCCGTGATAATGATAATGCTAAATGCAATATCGTCTTCTTTTTCAGTACCACTGAATGGTTGTCCTTTGAATGGCACTGTCATTGGGGTAAGACACGATTCTTTTTATTTGTTGTGATGGTAAGACATTTAGATATATGTATGAGCTTTTGAAGAACACAAACTTGCCAGAATACATGTAAGCATACAAGGCAGCCTTGTTCCGACAGAATCTCTGCAAGTGAGACCTTAGGGTAAAAGCAGTGGCAAGGGGCTCAGTACGTGTATGTCCACTTCATGACCCTGCCACAGTCTTCCTATATGATGACGAGTATCTCTGCAAAACAGGGACAATGAAGTTTCCTTGTCTCGAAAGGATGCTTGAGAAAGAAAAGTGCTTAGGAACTGTGGTAATCTGTGTTGTGTAATGACTTGCAGGCTACCAAACACACAGGAAACTATCTGCGAGGGATAATCTCAAAAGTGATCCTTGCCCACTTTGGGGAAGCAAAAACTTCCCATATTCTACCTAGAGGATAAGGCAGATTAAAAAAAGGATGGAGACTCTTGCTCCACCTGTGTGGAAGGAGGGGTATCCCTCCCTGGATATTAGCAGGAACAGGAAAGCTGAGTTTCCTCACTGTTTGACCTCTGTCCCCTTTCAAGATCCCTGCTGATAAACCCTCAGAGGAAATTTTTTCTCAACTACATGTTTAATGGATAGATTAAGACATGTTTAACCCGGCCCATGACAGTGGGAATGATGGGAGTTAAGCATCTGATGTCATTTATGCCGAATTTATCTTTGGAGAGCTCTGTCAATTGTCCATTGTTTCCCTAAATCCATATTCTGGCAGCACCTCTGGTGTCAAAGAGCTCTAAAAATTCTCATCATCCCCTAGGGAAACAGGTCCTCTTTAGTCATTTAACCTAACTTTTAACCTACGTATTCCTGCATTGTCAATGTATGTCTGTCTTCTTCATTTATTTAAAAGGTAAGTTTACCCAAATCTCTTTGGACTTCTGAGGTGTGGCAGGGAGAACCTTTCTCCATCTATTTCTTCTGGTTTTGTTTTTTTTCATAGTCGATAGGCCTAAGTTTATCAGTTTGTTAGAGCTAAAGCCCTGTCATCGAGCATCCATCATACTGTGTGGGGATTACTTCCCTGTAGAATAAAATCCAAGGTATAACTCTGCCTTTCTTGTCAGAACAGTGGGAGAAGGGTTTTAAAGTGGTAAAATGTGAAATAATCTGCTTTCTCTTTTATTCCTTTATTTGTCTCCTCTATAGTATGTTGTCAAAACTAATGGTGGCATTTTGTAAAGACAACGTCATGCGGTATAGTAATTGCTAGCTCCTGCCACCTTCTGTTGTATAGGAATGCATATGTATTTTTTTTACTGTGTTGCAAAAAGAAGGTGTCTTTCTAGTTGCGTGCTGTTCTTTCTTGAACAGCTGATTTTTATCTCTTCCAACGTAATGTTTACCTGATCTGTCAAGTAAAATGTTTGTTCTGTTTTCAAGGGGTTTAAAATATTTTAAAATAAATTCAAATGAAGCATAAGCAAATTTTGAAACAAAATGTCATTTTGAAGGCAAAATGTAAAGTATGTGTATTTTGAAGACTTAAAACCAATATATTTCAGCTTCTACAATATTGAAAAAAATTCCCATCTTAATAAAATTTTCCTGATTTGGAATGAATTCATAAAGTGTTTCAGCTGACACCAATCTACATTTTGACTCGTTCTTATTTGCTATCTGGCTATGTATGAAAGCTGTCTTTAAATATTTTTTTTTTCATTTAATACAGCTTTTAAAATGTGTTATTGTTCTTCCTGACAATTGGTCATTTTATCAAACACTGCCTGTGCAAGATTTTGAGGGTGTAGGTAGGCCCCAGCTGTTACGTTACTTCTGTGCTCTTGCTGTCGCAAATGTCAAGCATTACTGAAGTTAGCATTCAACAACGCAGTTACCAAAATATTTTCTCAGGATGGGGAGTGTGAAATTCGAGTTGAGATATAATCTTGAAAGATTTCTAAACAAAGTGGCCATTTTGATTTAAAAAAAAAAAAGATAAATTTGGCTTTATATTAGCTCTTGTCTTAAATTAATGAACTTTTCAATTAAACTAGCTTAATTTAATGACTTATTGTGACCTAATTAGCTATATATCTGAAAGCTTTTGTGCAGCTGGCGTTACTACCGCTTTGTCTTACACTATTCTCTACTTCAATGACTGTTCCAGAGTTCTGGTCAGGAAGGAAGATGTGATGTCCACAGAAGTTTATATTTCCTGGATTTCAAAACCTTTATTCTGGATCCTTTAAGAATAGATTTCAGGTTTCATTTTGTATCAGGGGAAAACTTTGCTCCATTAACTCATTTGCTGAATAGTTCCAAGTTTTGAGTCTCTTACGGCAGTTCTGTTAACTGACTGTGTCCTTAATCCCTTTACATTTTTGTCTTGTATCTGGTTACCAATATTATATTCCAGTAATTTGGTGTACTGCATTCACTCTGCTGTTCTTAACAATGCTGAGGGCTTTAACTGCAGACTTCCAAGCAGGTGGCTGTATTTACCAAAAGGATTATCTATATCACTCATCTGTTTTCCCAGGCTTTTACTGAGTGGCATTTTTGAAGGAGATCTGAGTAGATTTGGGCTTTATGCAGGTTATTTTGGTTGCACTGACTAACACTGGGTTAGCAGATGTTGACTTTTCATTCTAAGTTAGCCAAGAAAACACATGATAGGTGTATTATATAAAGGGAAAAAGATGTATCAATACATTATTTTGTTCAGTTCAGTCATGCTGAGCTGTGTTTGTTCACAGAAAGCCATTGTTAAAGCCATTTGCTTGCTGATCCCTAAATACATTAAATAAATATCATAGAACTAAGCTGCGATGCAAAATTTGGATCAAGGTAAGACCTTCCCCCAAAAGTTCAAGGCACTTGTGTGTGAGGATTTCGTTTCAACATGTCTCTAGTAAGCCCTGCGTTCCTGCCTGTAACAGTGATTTTAGTGTAAACTCAACTTCATCCATCTTTTTTGTATTTAATTGGAATGTTAGAACTGTTAGAAGATCCAGTGAGGATATCAATTGTAATATCAGCTGCGGCTTTACAGACCCTTTCTTCATGATGTGAAAGCCTAGAGCTACTGAGACATTCTGTGATAAGCATTTACTTCCAGAGGGCCTGAATTAACTAGGATTATGATAGTAAACAGAACAAACCCAACCGTGTTTTGAAACAGGTCAACATGATGAGGACATCTCCTAGATTTGCAAGGCTTTTGTATATACATGCACGTGTGTGTGTGTAGCTCCTAACCAGTAGAGCATTAGTAGTGTCGGTGGATTGAATACCCTTGTGAGGCCATGTAGTCTGTACTAGAACTATCACTCTGGTGTCTGAATGCTTTCCGATGTTGGGAGTAAACTAGAAGTCTGGAGTTTTGTATGACATTTGCTATCCATCCCTCTCCAAGAGGAAAATGTTATGACTGTGTCCTCATGCCTGCATCCACTGAGGTCTTTTAACCCTCCAGATTAATGACCCAGTATTCATTATAAAAGGCTAAACCAAGAAAGGTGAAGAGTCCTATGTCAAGGTCTCAAGCTGAGTTGTTAAAATGACAGGGATCTCCCCATTGGTATTACTGCCTCCATCATGTTGTATGTGGAGGACCTTTTTTCTAGACCTACACAAAACAAGAAAAAAATTCACTGCTATTGCTGGTGCTTTGTAGAAAACCACTGGGGCCTGAGGACCTCTGTTGTGCTGGGGTGCCGAATAAGAATGTGGTTAAAATTCTTTACTCAGAACATTTGTCCTTCAGTGTGTATGTTGGGAGTATTAGCTCTGAACTACCCGTAAATGCATTACCTTTATGCTGTTACTCTGGCCAGCTTCTTAGTTTTGCTCCATTTATTTAATGAGTGTTTACCAGTGTGGAACAAGGAAAAAAAAGGAATCCGAGGATCTGCATAGTATGTAGCATGGGAAATTCCTGTTCCAAATGAAGTCAACAGTGACGTTCCATTGATTTTTGAAGCACAACTCAAAGCTTTTATAATCTAGCAATATTCAGTATCTGTTTATCTTATTTATTAGGTTTTAGAAATTCTTTGTGAAAATCTTGAATAGACTCCTCCCATTTTGTCCCTTCAACCTTAGTGGTTTGTTATTTTGGGGTTGAAATGAAAGGCTGTGCACTTGAGAGGCAGAAAGACTTTGTATTTAGAATTCCTTTCAGTGCTAGGAATCCAATTACTAACTCCACATCCTTTTGTTTCCCATTTAATAGTTTGACATGTTTGCTCTACATTTTAAATGCCGGTTTTGCTTGCTTTGAAAAGGTGATGGGATCCGGCAAACCAGGTGCCGGGGAAGAGCTCAGGGAATTTGAATTGTGTGCCAGCTCAGCTTGTAACTATGGACAAGTCCAGTTCTTCACTCAATAATTCTGTTTCTGTTTTTGTCTTTGTCTTTCTCTCTCCTTTCTCAATTTTAAACTTTTAGGCCTCTAGAGTTTCTAAGTAGTACAAGAACAATAACACGTAATTTCTGCCCATGTTCTGTGGGTTGCGATGCCTCAAGAATAAAGACTTGTTGACTCATCAACAGGGAAAAACACACTCGGGGAAAATGAACTGGTGGCAGCCACCTAACGCATAGTCAGGATAACTGATGACAAAATCTTCCTCATCACTTTCAAGGATTCCTTTCTTGCTTGCTACCTTTGTAAGCAATGAAGTAAGAAATGCGAATGCCATTTCTCAGATTAAGGAATTCTAAAGGGGTTACTTGAAAAATAGCCTCATGCTATGTGCCGCTTGTTGTGGAATTACAGGTGCAAAAATTTGGGTCTCTGGAAATGGGGTCATTGGTTTGCTGTTTTCTCTTGCAAAGAATTGCAATGCAAGATTTATTGAAAAAGATTTAACCTACATAAAATTGCTTATTTATTTGAGATTTGCTGAAGAGACAGTCGCTGACTTACAAACTGGTTCTAATATTTCAGCCATGGAGACGCCTGATGGTGGATCAATGCACAACATGTCACTGCTCCCTCCAGCCCGCATCTTCTCGGAGATACACTCTGACATGTACAAAATTAAGCTGTGAACCATGCCCAATAGTAAGTGCGAGTTGTCTGTATGTTCTGGTGAAGAATGGGCCTGATGAGAAGGTCGTATTCTTTTTTGTATACATCAGTTTGTCTTGTGCAACTCTAGGACCTGTTGCCTTCAAGTTTTTCTAAGAAGTCATGGTCCTGTGTTCTTTCCCTGAATTAGATGAAATACACCAAATGTGATCTAAATCCACTGTGCAGGAAAGGTAACTTTTCATAGTACTGAGGTCCATAGGCATGTTTTATTTTGTGTGTTATACTACTTACCTTTAGGGCAGAAGAAGGTTTGGCAAATCATTTGCAACAGAAGGTGCTGTGTCTCCTTTCCTACAGTGTTTTCTGTCCCTCCAGAGACCGGCAGCTCAGCCCGATCTCCGTGCTTCAGGGCTTTCCTATGACTATTCCAAATTGTCTAATAGCTGGGCTCAATAATATTTCTGTCTGGTTCCCAGCTATGCCTTGGGTGATTTGAGGTGATAGTCCCCATCAGTTCTGCTGGCCTTTTTGAAGTCTTTGCTGCTGCTTTGCTGTCATCAGCTGCAAGGAATGAGCTTGGCTGGGAAAGCCAGAGGCAAATAGCTCCCATTTTTGCTCCACTGACCAACAGTGTGACCAGAGTGCCTGACTAGTTCTGCTCAGTCATACAGTGTTCTCTCTTAGCACCAATACCTCAAGTAGAAGGAGACCTAAGCAAGTTGCAGAGCTGGCTTAATCTCCCCTTGTTGGAAGAGCACAGACCAGCAGCTGAGTTTCACAGAAAAAGGCTTAAATGCCCCTTCCTCTTCTGCCTTTCCCTGGGTAATGGATGGAGCCCAATGGGCCCAGCCAAACCCAGGACCTGTGCAGGCAGTGGCTGTTGCCACAGTTGCCACAGTGACCAAAAAGCCACATCTCTAACATGATCATATCGGATTTCCAGCTGATACCCAGGGGCGGCATACATTGATAGGGTCCCTGCAAAAGAGAGGAGCAGAGTTTTGGATGAGGCCGGTTTTCAATCCCTAAGTAGAACTGGAAAGGACAATGTAGTAAGTCAAGTTTCTGTGGTTTCATCTGTACTAATAAACTAAACAGAGCAAGACTGCAGGCTCAAATTATGTCCTGCAACCATTTATCTTGAATTCTCAGCAGTGTCCCCACTGGCCTGTTCTAACTAGAAAATTTCCAGATAATGTCTCGGCACAGGTCAGTGGTTAGGACAAGCCAAGGCCAGCCTGTTTTGTGGGGAGAATGCAGTTTAGACATACATACATGCTCGACTTGTCTGCAGGGCCAGAAAACTGGCCTTGACCCTTTGATTTGCTGGTATGGATGCGGCCTGTGACAAAAGGGAGAATCTGGAATACTTTGTGTGGTTCTGGACCCTCACATCACCCCTCCTGTAAAGTATGATTATAGACACAGGCTTCTGAAAGGAAAATAAATGGCCAAGCTCAGTGCTGAGCATCTTCCTCACTTCCACAAAATAGAACCTGGCAGATCAATGAAAAAAAACCCAGATACCCTAGAATGAATCTGCGGCCAGAAACATGTGTGCATATGTATGTTCCCACACAAAAATACACAAACATCAATTCTTGCTTTTCAATGCAAGAAGCCAGCTGTAGACATTAAAGGTAGAAGAATCAATAAAATAGGCGGTAAAAAAATGGGGCAACATTCCTCTCCTGCTTCTTCCACCACCCACACAATTCCCAAACAGCTCCTTTCCCCCACCTGACCCAAAAGTACTGACCAAACAAAAAGCCCTGAAGGAAGGACAATTTCGACTTGGGCTTATTAAGCACTATGAACTTGTGTTTAGGAGATGTGCAGCTACCCAAGGGAGGTTGCAGGCCTAGGTGTACGTATCCCTTTGTAACAAATCTGTGGAGCTTGAGGGGGGAAAAAAAATCCAATAAGATACAGAATGTCTTCATCCCCCTAAGGCCAGTAGGATTCACACACGTACTTGGGATCTTTCCTGTCTCAGAGTCATTGATTTCATGGTAGACGCAGATTAAAAGCAATTCCTTCATAATGGGTAAAATCGTGGGTTCAGAGTATATATTCTCTCAGGAGCACCTGCTTTCTACTGGATGCTGAAGCTGTGAAAGTAAATGCACTAGTAATTGAAGTGCAGCCAACTGCAGCATATTCTGCTCATCAGGGTCAGTTTTTATGGTCATTTTATGACCTACTTTAGGTGCTTATATTTTTGCTAGTAGAGCAAATTCACCTAAATAACAATGACCTATGTTTTCTTCCAATGATTTAATAGTAACCCCCCACCCTCCCCAAATTCTTTTTCTATATAAAAACATATGGATAACATGCATGCCTTCACTCAACCAGAAAGTGTTTGTTGTCTTAAAAATGTTCAGCTCATCATAAGCAGCTGTTGGTTATGTGTAGCAGCTGGAGACGTTACTGTGGGACACTTCATGTGTTAACTCAGTTCCTTTCTGTTTTTTTTTTCTTTCCATTATCCACTCTCTACCTTTCTTCTTCTTCATCTTGTCCTGCTCATTCTCCCATGATCCTTTCCCAGCCACTTTTTTTTCCTTCCTGTGCCATTCGTGGGGCTCCATTATTCCTCTTTTCTTTCTTTCTCTCCTTTTTTATTTTGTTATATCATACCCTCTCTGACACTCTTCTTACTTTCTTGTTTTATCAGACCATTTTCTTTTTCTTTCCATGGTCCAAATTTTCCACCTTAGCCTTATTCTTCCCTTTCCCTGCCCACTGCTCACTGGTTATCTTGCCCTTTTCTCCTAGTTTAAGCACTTCAGACTACTTTTCCAAGTTGCACTGTATAGTATTCATTAGCTTTACAGAGAAGCTCCTGCACACCACAAATGAGAACTGTATGTCACTCAAAACATTTTAATAACTTTTGTACCCTCTCCTACTGTCATGTGTTGGTTGGTGGACCTGACCTCGCAACTGTTATAGTCAAATAATATTGAATTTAGTGGACACAGGAGACTTTCTACTGGAAGTAAACTGCTCTCCCTATTGTGTAATAAATCAGTACAAGGATTAATGCCAGCCTTTAAAAAAAAACAAAAAAAAAAACCCAAAAAACCAAAACCAAAACAGAAACAAAAAAACCCACAAAAAACCTACAAAACCCAAAACCAACCAAACAAAAAAAACAAACAAAAAACCCCACCAAAAATAGAAGTAGGCAACTAATTACATTAAGCTAGTCTAGTCCTGCTGTTTAAAAAAGCATTTTGCTGGCTATCACTTTGTCCAATGATTTTTTTTCTTTTTTTGAAAAAAACAACTCTACAAATACATGTATAAGCATGCTTAAAACCAAATAAATTCAGAAAAATGTCCTTTACCTTCTAGAATTACAGAAGGCAGGAAATCCCTGGCTCTTGCTGTGGAAAATGTGTACCAACTTCATGTGGCATCAGGCTGAGAGATGGAAGGCTTAAATACCTTCAGGTAAGTTTTAAGCACTCTTATTTATGAGTAAATGTAAATGTAGCACAGACTTCTGGTGAATCCAAGGAAAGTGCATTTTTTTTCTCCTTTTTTGTTAGGCAGCATTGTATTACTAGTTCCTTTTCTTTTGTGTCTCAGAATGCTTTCTCAAGAAAGTTCTTTTTTGCTTTGTTGTTTGTAAATGCAAAAAAGGAGACTTCATATCATAGTGCAAAGTTCTAGAGGGGCATTCTAGATGCACCTGCAAACATTAATATAATCAAGGAACTTTAACTGGAATATGAGCTCAAACAACTACTTAGAGAAAATTAAAAACCTCAGTTTAAATGAGAAATGGATAATTTCAGTTGAAAATGTGAATTTTGAAAAATTTCTCCAGCATGATAGGTTCTTAAACAGGAGTGGATATTTTTCTGGTTAAAACCCATGAGCTTGTCACAAAACAACAGCATATAACATTTTCTTTTATTCCATTCCTGAGCTAAGTTTTAGATGGGGTGAGTATGAGAAGAGCAACGAAGGTGGTGAAGGGTCTGGAGCACAAGTCTGATGGGGAGCGGCTGAGGGAGCTGAGGGGGTTTAGCTTGGAGAAGAGGAGGCTGAGGGGAGACCTGATCACTCTCTACAACGACCTGAAAGGAGGGTGTAGCCAGGTGGGCCTCGGTCTCTTCTCCCAAGTAACAAACGATAAGACAAGAGGAAATGGCCTCAAGTTGCACCAGGGGAGGTTTAGATTGGATATTAGGAAAAAATTCTTCACCAAAAGGGTTGTCAGGCCCTGGAACAGGCTGCCCAGGGAAGTGGTGGAGTCCCCATCCCTGGAGGTATTTAAAAGACGTGTCAGTGTGGTGCTTAGGGACATGGTTTAGTGGTGGACTTGGCAGTGTGAGATTTACAGCTGAACTCGATGATCTTAAAGGTCTTTTCCAACCTAAATGATTGTATGATTCTATGTAGGGGTGAGGGTGTGTTTTTATGTATTTTTCTAAAGAAGCTCCCTACTCAGCTAGAAGTTAAATATTCATATATATGTCTTTTAAAAAGACGATTCATAGACCAAACTCTCAAGTTTCTCAGTTAGACAAGTTTCTCTTTTAAGTTAATGGAAATTTCTTCCGCGTTAAGAGCTGAAAAAGGTCAGGTTTTGGCAGTCTTGACTGAGCTGTAATGAATATGGCTATGGAAGTAAGTACAAGATGATGACTTTGTTGATAAACAATTCTGCTTACTAAAGATTACTGTGTTTTATGAACTTCACCACCGTGGCATATTAATTGAAATATCAGTAAAGGAATAGTCAGGTTGTGTAGTATCCTGAAAACTTCTTGTCCCATGTTGTTTCTGTATAAAGCTAACAGCTCTTAAATCTTTACAGCCAAATGAATCACTTCAGGATGGCTGTGATAGTCACTCCTGTAAAGTAAATGAGAAAGGGGAATTTATCTGGGAAAGGAGAATCACTGGCTGTCCTCCATTTGATTCCAGAAGATGTTTGGCTGAAGGAGTAAGTAGTGAAATGGGTCCTGTTTCCAGGTTTCCTAATAGATTCTGTCATGTTTATGGTTCTGTATATAGGTACCTTATGTGTATTAGGGTGGGAAACGCCAACCCTCTCCCAGCACCTTGGCTAAACTGAATTTGAACTTTCTTTGAAATTCAGAAAAAAGTAAGTTTTCTTTATTTTAAAATGTAAGCTGGTTTTATGTGGGACTTTACTGCAGGGGCGATGCTGAGCTTGCAGTAATTCTGTTCCATATGAAGCAGCAAAGATAAGAAAAGGGTTGTTCTAACAATGTTTTCAGTTTGGTATGCAGAGCAAAACAGTGGCTAATTAAGTAATTTTTTTCTATGGATATGCATATGAAATGCTAAGCCATTTTTCCTCTACCCTCGTGTGAGGTTAGGGAAAGGAAATTTCACTAAGAACTCAAACTCCCACGTTTGCAGTTGTTTGTTATAATGGTATAATAAAAACCCCGCTCAACATGTTCGCCCGTCTTTCCTGTGATTTGAGGTAAGCCATACACTGAGGAACAGAGTGCAGGTTGGGGTGTAGCACATGGGGTCCTGCTTTTGCTCATCGAGCATCACCCAGGTGTTTATATCCACCTGTCCCCATTTGCTTGGGCATGTCAGGAAGGAGGAAACCTTCAACAAAGCTTGTGCCCAAACGTCTCTCTACGTATACATCCAGGAAATGGAGGATTTGATATGTATAATGTGGGAAGAATAAAACTTCTACAGTGCATTTCTCACTCTGTGAAATCACTATAGCCACGCAGTTTTGTTATATAAACAAAGATTTAGAAAAATCCTGGATTATGTTACAGGCTTGGGGTTATTATCATATTCTAAAGGACTTCATTGAAAATCAGTGAAGAATAGTTTACTTTTTAAGCAGAACTTCCCAAACTGCATTTATTCTTCTCCCGTCCAAAAAAAAAACCAAACAAAAGGAACTATTTAAACTATAAAATTAGTGGTTTTCATCTGGCTCTAGATGGAAAGTTTATGTGTTTTAATTCAAAAAGCCTACAAACTTTTGCATGTAAATTCAGGTGTTTACTGCACCAATGGCATCACCCTGCAGTACAGATATTTCTCCATTTTTTAACTTTCACTGTAGGTTTTCAGTAATTTTTCCACCAAAGATATATTTCTGAGAGTTATTTTCTATATGGTAGTAATGAAACAAGAAAAATAAGATTTTTGGCTGTTAAAACTTACTTGACAGATGTGATACTTCCTGATGATTTGCCTGCACATTTTCAGCTGTTGTGGAATAGGCAGGCTTTCATCTATACTGCCACAAAAATCAAGCGGGACTGTTTAACTTCCTTTCTTAAACAGACCTAAGACTTGAATACTATTGGTTTTATCACTCTGGTTCCCAGAAATTTATTTGTATTCAATGTCTTTACTTTAGAAAGCTCCTAATATAAAGTGAAAGCAATATTTTCAGGTGTTGAACTTTCTAATACAGTCAATTATTTCCAATCAGCTATCAACAAATACAATCAGAAGTTGAAAACCTTAAAATGGATAAAGAGATAATGGCTTGGGTAGATTTATATTTTTGTGCAATATAGAAATACAATTGTCTTGCCTAATCACCTGTTTTAAACATCCCTTTGTGTTCTTCCAGGAGAAGAAATGTGTATTACTTGTGCCAAAAATGAAGTTTTCTATTTTTTATTGTCTTAGGGCAGAATTGCAAAACTTGGCAATACCTGCTGTGACACATGTAAGTAAATAAGTTGAAGTCTTGTATGGAAATTGCGGAGTGTGTAAGCTACTGGATAAGGAGCTATATTTTGCATAAGATGCAGTTTAATGAAACAGAACTAAGCAATGTGGTTAAAATAAACTATTGAACAAGTCCGCCTTCTGATTGGGATACTGCTGTCATGTTTTGTCCACTGGAACATGTGTTTTGACAGTATTCACAAGTGCTTGGAAAGAAACAGATACTCTCCACGTTTTATGCAGATGTTAATTATGAATGTTTTGTTTTATTGTTCATCTAAATATAACAGGAACAGTATTGCACACACAAGTTGACAAGTCACATAACCTGATACTGAATATGTGAGGCAAGCGCTTCATGAATAATCAATCAACTTAAAATGAATTTAGAAAATAAAAAAAACCACCCCTGATGGCAGTAATGTAATTTTGATTGGTTTTTGATAATGTAATAACAAAAAAATGGTAGGAGAAATGCTTGTCGAAGGTGCATTCATGTTGAACAGCCTGACTGCATCTTAAATTCAACAGTTTAGGAGTCAGTCCTGCAACTCTTAATTTCATGCATCATTGTGTAGATAATCCAAATGTCAGTCAGGCTGTGAGCGTAGGAGGGGTTTGCTTACATGAGAAAGGATTATGGGGTTGGGTTCTCATTTCTAAAATGAATCTCTGATGCTTTTGTGAACAGACCACCTCTCAGTTTCCTCCTTTGCAAGTAAAAAATTAATAATACTGTAGCTTATTTAAAATTAAAAAAGTAACAAAAGATTGATATTCCCTTTTAAAGTCAAAATATCAACATCTTGCCTGTGTTCCATTATCACCTTTTTTCCACTCTCCCCCCCTTTTGCATGTGCTAATAAATAAAAGATGGCCAGCATAGCAGCCCATCACCACACTGGCACAGTAACTGCTGTAATAATACCCCTGATGAAGGATGTTAACTCCTAGAGAGTTTGCAGCCATTGCCTGTGTCTGTATAATCACTGAGTTCCAGCTTGAGAAATAGAAGTCAGAAAGCTATTGAGATAGACTGGCATCAAATGGCTCAATCAGGTAATTTAGCTAAGAAAGCGTTAATCTACCAGGCTTCAAGTAAGGAATAATGAAAATTATTTGTTAAGAAAATTAGATTTTAAGATTTAAAAGACAAGGTGGTGGGCAGGCTCTACTAATTGAGAATGCTTATCTGCAGTTCAGGAGAGGAGAAACCCACTTCCAAATGAGCACAGCTCAACGTATATATTTATCTAGCAGCTACAGTGATTTAAAAGTGACACCTCCTTGCAGCAGCGAAAGCAAACTGATCTAAATGAAATATCGCATGCGTAAAAATGCCCATATTGCATGGACCTTCAGATCCTTATTCCCATTGATGTTTGCTTGGATATAGCTCAAAACTGGAAAGTCCCATATTATATCTCTCAAGTTCAAAGCATGGTTCAGGGTGATGCCTTTGGTTCAGTAGAGTCCTACGTGGCTTTGAGCAAAGGTTGTTGAAGAAGCCAGTTTCTCTTTCTATGTTATGTCTTAGCAATTGGAGTTCATTAGTGCGTCTGAGGCCATTGTTCCAGGTTTTAAGTACATAGGAACACATAAGTAAACAGGTTTATCTTCTCCTTAGATTTTTGTTGTACTAGCAAAGGACTTGATTATTTGCAAAGGATATTCCTTATTTTCCCAGTTAACAAAGAAATTGCATCTCTACTTCTTACCTCTTTTCCCTGTTGATCTCCATTGCATATCTCTTGTTAAGTTACAAGCACTTGCCTTTGCAAAGGAGGCACTGTCTACAAAAAAAGTAAATGAGAGTAGTAGAGTAACTCAAGAACAAGTCGATAAGTCAGGATCAAACAGGTGTTGAAGCTGTGTCGAGTCTGATGACAATTAATTTTTTGGGATCTTACAGTTGTGTGGACGCAATTGTGTATTCCTTCCAGGTGGGCAAGTTTTATCAAATGAAGTGATGAAATCATTAAAAGAGAACTGGCAGTTCCAGCCCTGAAGCCAGAAACACTTTTCAAGTTGTTTTTTGGTTTTTGGTTGGGTTTTGGGTTTTTTTTGTTTTGAATAAAATGTAAAGCCTTAGCAAGGCACAGAGCCAATTTGATACTGCTGTTCCCATGGAAAAGGTATTGAAAGCTATGTTTGCTGCTAGGAAGATGGATAGATTTCTCTTCAATTTATGTATCTACTTAGCTGTGCTGTTGGCCAGCTGAATTCCTTCAGCTCTCTGAAATGCTGTTGTGTAGTACGTAAAAAATAGGCCACTGTTCTGGTAAATATGGAAATTCCATAGGTTAGCTAGAAATGAGTAAAAGTAGGAGCCTGTCTTTACACTGAGGCAGAACACTATATTAACACTACAAAGAACCACTGTTTGCAGTGCGCAAAATATCCGCTTAAAAAAGCATTAGCTCCTTCACAAGTCTTTAGATGTGGACCAAAACAGACAAAAGTGTTCAGAACAAAATGTTCTGGATTATTCTGTGTTTGAGCATGTCAATGTTGAGGTTCCCTTTGAAAGTGAAAGAGCAGAGTCACCGTCGTCTACTGCAGTTTAGAGATCATAGCAAACCGACCTCACTTCACAAAGAGGGATCAGCAGATTCTCTGAGCTTGCACTCTCCACACGTAACAAATCCAGACCTACTGCCTCTTGTGTGGATTTCTCGTTAGGTAAATTCTCCCTGTTGTTGTTTTTGTTTGCTTTTTTTTCTCCAACACTAAGAGCAAAAATATTGGAAAACAAGTGTCAGGGTATTTCATAACTTACTGAAGAAAGTGGAAAAGTTCCCATTGACCCAAAATTAGATTTTCACGGAATTAGTTTTCTAATTTTTTTTTCCTAGTTTTTCTTTTTGCCATGTTAGTTTCCTGCAAAATGCACCATATGTGCAAGGACTGTTAGGAGTTGTCAAATCTAGGAGCCTGATAGAAGCGAGGCCGCCACAGCTCCGTGTCCTTAGTTCCAGGCTGCAGTGAGGCTGAGCATGTATACAACACACACACACACGCGCGTTTTTCATGTACAGGCACAGAAACATTCAGTACCGTAGCAGACACAAACAGTACCCACATTCTCATCATGATCTCCCCTTTGGCTGATCAGGATGAAGGTCCTTAGTGGTCTTGAGCACTCACTCTGTCCGGTAACTGGTCCTGCATCCCTGCTAACCTAGACTCGTGGGCCCTATGACCTGTGGTCTGATTCTGGTTGCTGGCACTTACACCGCCATACACACACAGCCACAGAGAGTCCATCACCCAGGACAAGTAGTTAGAAGTGGAGTTTAATAAGAAGATAGGACAGACTGCAGTGATCAAATGTAGGGCAAGGTCAGACAAAAGTACGGGCCAGCAGCTGTTTAACGTGCAACTAGACCCCTTGATGCCTTTATCCATCCATTTTCCCACATTTGTTCCTCACCAACCCACCCTAACCCCTCTCTTCCCCCACCTTTGGTTCCTCCCCTAAAAATGCCATCATAAGTAAGTCTTGTAGAAGCCCAAAATATTCTTCCCTAGCATCGCAGAAGGAGTCCCACACAGTCCTGAAGGCAGTGACCCACCTCAGTCTGTAAGGTGATCTGGAGAGCTGCTCCCACTGACTCATCTTGAAGGGCATTGTCCCAAGACAACGGGATCTCTCTCCTGTGGCAGCCCCAGGAATAGCCAGGTCAGGGTGCTCTGTTTCTCTCTGGTTAGGTTATTGGGGTTCCCATGTGTGTCAACTTTTTCCTGTGCACCTGCTTGCCCGCTGTACCATTGAACTATATTTAAGAGAAGAGTTATCCAACACAGAAGCCAACAGATAAAATGCAGATGTTAGGTGGCAAAGTGACTTTAAAACAAAGCAGTCGATTGGAAAGAAACGTGAGGCAATCTCTGCTCTCTCCAGTGGAATTTTAGGGCTGTAGTGTGATATAGTCACACAGCTCTGCATTAATTACTCTAAGGAGACACACCTCATTCTCTTGCTAGGGATCTTACCAGTAATGACATTTCATGAACAGCAATTTCAGTAATAACGAGAAGGGAGTTAAAAAAAAAAAAAAAAAGCAATTGTCAGCAACATTGAACACTTTTGTTTTTTTAACTTGGTAGGTGTGGAAGTGGAATGTCGACCAGTAAGTACCAGACTGCAGTACAGGAATATCAATGGATGTGTGGCTGAAAAGGAAGTGCCTATTTCTCATTGTGAGGTAAATAACAAAAGCAACCCCCCTACCCCAAGACCTGCCCTTGCCCCCTTTCTCTCTTCCACAAGGGAAACCTGTGCCTCCACTATGGCTTCACTTCAGCAACTAGAGCATCAGCTTCTCTCCTTCTCATTGATTCACTCAAACAGTGTAAACCTCTTTGGCGCTTATTTCCTAAGGTAATTTGGTGATGCTGAATTTTCCCTATTCAAGCCAGCGTGAAAAAAAGCACATATGTTAGACACAAAGACTTTGTTCGTACCACTCACCTTTGCTTCCATCAGAAATGAATGAGTCTGAAGTGGCTTTGTTAGGACTTTATACATTATAAAAAAGAAGAATTTTCATCTCAGTGAAGCTGATTTTCATATCTGAATCTACAGTTAAGCACACATATCCCTCTCCAGGCTCTGAAGTTGATTTGTGAGAGTGTGACTAGGTATTTAAATGCCTGATACTTTAAAAGACATTTAAACTTGAGCGCTATGATTTGACTTCTGTGCTCTATAAGCTCTATATGACTCCTCTATTAGCTTAAACGCTAAACTGTTACATTCTGCATGTGCATTTCTTCCATAATCAGATTAAAAGTTAAATTTCCTGCCCATCACTGTTTACACCTTATAAGGCAACTTCCATTTGAAATAGGAGCATGGCTTCCCTTCTGGATGTTCCCATCTCTCTGACACTGGGAACAAGTGATGACATTCTCTTCCCAGATTGGGTTGTAGCAGGACAGCTGCTCAATCTGACATAACCAAGCTTCATACACGGATTGTGTACAGCCCTCGTATACAATCCAAAGTAGGGCATATAAGGGTGGCAATCATGAAGATGGCACCCACCCCCTTCCGTATTCTCGTTATTAAGGCAGTCAGCAAAATGAATCTCTCCCTTTCCCATGACTACTGGGAAAAGAATGGGAATAGAGAGGAGAGGTATTAAGGGTGTACATGCCCAGGCTTTTTGGATAGCTACCTGGCAAAGGGTCTTTGTTTGCTACATAAGTCGTAATAGGAGTGGAAGCTTTAAGAACAACAAAACCACTTACCTTTCATTAAAAAAAATAAAAATCATTAAAAAAATCCTTGACCTCTTGTCTTGTCCACAAAGTCAATAATAATCAGGTCACAGAATCATCAGGGTTGGCAGGGACATCTGGAGATCATCCAGTCCGCCCCCCCCGGCCCTTGCCAAAGCAGGGTCACCTACACCAAGTTGCACAGGATCGCATCCAGGCGGGTTTTGAATATCTCCAGAGAAGGAGACCCCACAGCCTCTCTGGGCAGCCTGTGCCAGTGCTCGGCCACCCTCAAAGCACAGTAGTTCTTCCTCATGTTCAGGTGGAACTTCCTGAGTTTCAGTTTGTGCCCGTTGCCCCTTAACCTGTCGCTGGGCACCACTGAAAAGAGTCTGGTGCCATCCTCTTGGCACCCACCCTTAAGGTATTTATAAGCATTGATGAGATCCCCTCTTAGCCTTCTCTTCTCCAGGCTGAACAGACCCAGTTCCCTCAGCCTTTCCTCATCACGGAGATGCTCCAGTCCCCTCATCATCTTCGTTGCCCTCCGCTGGGGTCCTTCGCAATAAAAGCTTATGTATGGAGGTTTACCCTGCAAAAGTACAGATTTTATATTGTGAATCTGGCCATGTATTGAGTAAAGTAAATACTCTTGCTATAGCTGGTATTGAGCACAGTTCTTCTAAAGTCCTTGCTAATAACGCTATGCACATTTTTTGTATTAATCTCAGAAAGAAGATCACAGAGCCACAAAAAGAAATAGACTCTTAACAGAGTTTGATGTGGGGCCATTTGGTTTTTTTACATCATGAATGCTTATAGCTACAGGCATCGACGGCTTGTTCTAAATTAGTAAAGTGACCAGACAGGTAGGTCAAGGGAAAATAGCAACCAGCAGGACAACAACGGATGTGTGTCTTGCAGTGTTTGGGCTAAAGCACTTATTGAATACATGATCTCATATACAGCTGAGATTATAACCATATGTGCTTAGAAGCCAACACAGTAGCCCTGGACATCACTTATGATATTTTAAATTACGGGCTTGTTTTTGTGTGACCAGTTTCTTCACCTCTCTTTTGCTATGCTTATGCTCATAAGACATCGCTCTTTGACCAGCACCCCATGCTCTGGAATCGGATATCTGTTTCTGAGTTCGTGTTTTACAGCAGAGCTCTGAAGCCCAGGTGAAGTCATCCATGGACGTTTTGAAGGGAAGAACCTGGATTCTGATTGCACTGAGACATGACACTGTTCAAACTTGGTATCTCTTTGTTCCATTTAGGGCAAGTGCAGAAGCAGTACCCAATACTCCGTTCAGACAGGGAAATGGGAAGACCTGTGCAGCTGCTGTACAGCCACTCACACCACCATAGTCACGATCCCCCTCCGGTGTGCCAATGGGACGGTGGTGCAGCATTACATCCCTTCTGCTTCTCAGTGTGAATGCTATTCTCGGAAGTGTACAGACTGAATATTTCCAAGAAGTTCAGTTGTTTAATCTCAAGTTTTATGCTGAAGGAACTTTACAGTGCAAGCCTCCTTTTCTCTCTGTAGACCACTTTATCCAGTAGAATCCTGACTAACTAATTGTATCAACATAGCAAACAATAAAACCTACTAGCACAATGGAGCATTTTTTGATTATTCTTGGGAGTGGTTTATAGAAGAGATATTGCAGATTGTATTGTTCCCCTTCATCTTTACCATGGAAAGTAATCCACATTATTTAAAAAGAAAAAAACAAAACAAAACAAAAAAAAAAAAGCAAAAAAAGCAAACCCACAACGCAGTAACAGAAACAGTTGGTTCTACTTAAAGAACACATCCCAAAGCATTTAGCATTGTCTTCAGAGACATTACACTTGCATTCCCCGCCTCAGACCTTAGTGACACACTGTGGACTTTTAAGTTTTTGGTCTTTTTTTTCACCTTCAGTCAGGGAATACTGTAATTATGGCATAAGACTTCACAGTAAGAGGGTGATGGTTTTGGCACACAACAATACTGGTTATGGCTCAGGCAACCAAACGTCTTTCTGCAATGTATGTACGTGCTCCTCCTGAAGCTGAATGCAAAGAAATGGTGTGCTGAGGAGAGGCTGTGTAACTTCTGCAAGTCCTCAGTACTTGTAAATGGGGCTGAAGGACAGCGCTGTTTACTTCAACACTTCCACAGACTGACTTGAAGAGAAAGCTCATCAGTAATCTCCCTTATTTCCAGATACCAGAACTTCATCTGTTGCATTAGCTACAAAAGTTAAGAGTTTTTTCAAATGCAGAATTGTCAGTGGCAGGTTTAATTTAGCTAGTTACTGCTGCCAGGGTTAAATTTAGCAGGATTTAAATTCCACTTGGTCGGTCAGGCCGTGGAAGACAGAAGATTTTCCAGAGGGTTGTTGATCCTGGTGGAATCTAGTGCCAGTCAAGCTGTTTCACTGCAAAGTACTAATTTCACAAAAACATGAGAGAGGCAACAACGTTCATTCTGTTTGAATTTTGAAAGAAAAGAAATATTTAAACTTCTTGAATTGAGGGGTTTTTTTAATATAATATATATAAATCAGATATAGGAGGTGTATTTAAAAAAAAAAGTAACCCCCAACTTTCCATATGTTTCTGATGGAATCACTAAATCTTAGGAACAGGTTATAGGTGAAAAAGATCATAGTTTCTCCAGCTCTAGCAGAAGTGTTCTTGAACTAGTGAAAAGCATATAGAGAAGTCCTGGAGGGTAAGAGTGCTCCTGAGAAGCCTAGCAGAAAAGGGCAGGAAATCAGGTTATCCTTGTGCAGTTGTTAGGTTGGCATCTCTAGAAGTGGAAGGCGTTTCAGAGGACATTGTCACCATTGCCCCTGGAAAGTTTTGAGATGAAGAGCTATTGCTCCTCACATGCATGCAAATGTCGCCTGATTAAATGGGTCAGTACACCTCCCCGTCTGCATGAATGGCTCCCTTTGGGAGCAAACACAAACCCCCTCTGTGCTTTCAACTAAAAAGGCAAGTTGTATTCCTCTTTGAGAGGAACCAGGCAGATCCCTGCTTCTTCTGTTTTGCCATTCAGCTGTGGATTCAACACATATTGAATTGTAGACCCTTTTTTCCCCTCATTATTCACTCAAGACGTCCTCTGTTGCTGGACAGTGCTAGGAGAAGTGCAGGCCTTCTACACGTCTCTCTTTCTTCTGCTACGGGACCACAATAACCCCAGGGAGAGAAACTACGTTTTAGATGGCACCAGCCCCACTTACTGCAGTAGATCTCTGTCACCAGTTTTCCTCCATCCTCACACTAGTTCCTTGTTGTAGCTGGCTCTGTGTAACAAACTCCCCGACAAATGGTTTTGGGTCGCCCAGGTAATCAACTGCACAACAGCTCATCTGAAGCTGCAAATAAACAACGCCTGGAAAACATCAGAGAAGACCAGAGAAAAGAAAGGAGTGGACAGGGGGTAAAAGGCAACGTCCATCGCTGGCCTGCCCCTTGGGTTCCATCGGTTCCCTCCCCCAGACTGACCTTTCTTAGCTCATGAAAACTGACAGGATTGCAGCCTAAGGCTTCATGGCTGCAGACAGGTCTTCTAATCGGATAACTGGATGAGTCAGACACCATCTTACCGGCACGGGGAGGACACGTAGGAGCATCCACAGGGGCAGAGATGGAGCCACAGTTTTCTGGAACTTCTGAAAAGCAGACATGCACAGCTAGAATTTTCCACCAGCAACAAAGCTGATGGACAGATGTGTCCAACAAACATTTCCTGCCTTCATCACTTCTACCTCAATTAACAAGGAAAATATTGTGGATCTAAGTGTCTCAAGAAACAGACTGAAATAAAGATACTGGATTTCAGACTAGAGCAATTAGCATTTTTTCCTAAGGAGCTGTAGATTATTTATTGGAAAACTGCTTGGTTATAGGATCAAACTCATAGCAGAGGGAGCTCAGTGTAATTGAATAACCAGAACTGTATTAAGACTTTACACCGGTTCAAGAATATACCCCACGCTATGTGACTTTTCTTCACCTTCCTTGTTTGCAGTTTTGCTTTCAGGCATTCGTGCCAGTGTACGGACTAAAGTGGGTGCGCAATACATCCCATGAGAACTTAACCGGTTTTTCTTACAGAACAGAGTTCTGTGGACTTCTGTCTGATCTGTATGTTATTTTTCAGGCCTGACTAGTACCTATATATTCCAAGCAAAGACAAAGCCGTGTTGTGCTCCAGACCAGAAGGAACTTCTTCCTTGAAAATCCTGCCATAAAAGCAGGCAAGCAGGAAATAGCAAGAGGAAGGAAATATTAGAATATCTCCCTTAACAGACTGAGAAGGTACATAAAGTTTTGACCTTGACCTGCTGGCATGAGAATTAAACTCTTTCAGGCAGCCTGCCCCAAAAGAGCTGTCTGTCATCTACGGCTTGAGCGGTGCCAGTAAGGCAATGGGCTGGAACTTCCTCCATGCAGGTTTCGATTGCCATTCACACAGCCCAGTTTCATCTAGTGCAACTCTGCTATTTTCAGAAGCATCCTTTTCTGGCGGAAGAGAAGAATAGAATTAAGCCTATAATCAAGTACCCGCTTAGTAGAGAGTAGTAGTGTGCCAGCACATCAGACAGCGCAGTACCTCAGCCTGCTCCATTGACATTCACCAGCAGAACCCAGGCTTTGAGGAACATTGTTTTTCAACTTGTACGTACCGCTTGTGAGTCTCGATGGTTTTGAGCTACCTCAGTCTTGGCCTTTCTTCCAATGATTCGGAATGCATCATCCCACCACTTCAGAAGACCAGCTAGATCGTTGAGCATGCTGCAGGATAGATTTACAGGAACGTTAAATGGATTTGGGGAGGAGTCTTATGTAACTTCTTAATTATTAAAAGCATCTAATCTCTCTGCTAACTTTTACAGACTTGCAAGCACCACTCCTCTACAGCAGGTGAAACACAATCTGGTATATTGGTATTATTTGTCGCAGTTCTGCATTATCAACTAACACCATGCCCATGTACCTCAGGAAACACAGTGATGCCAAGATATGATTTTCTCCATTGGAAAGTGTCCTTAAAAATAGACTACAGACCCAGTTCCATTTTAACCAGCTGGATATTGCTTCCTATCATATTGCCTCCTGTGTATATTATTTATTACCTGAGCTAACAGTATTACCTGTAACGGACCCATCCTTATGGCTTATAGGAGCTAGTAATTTGAACCTGTGCAGGCAGGGCTTTGTGTCCACAGAGATCCCGGCAGGACCTGGCTCTACATTCCTATACTATTCCAAAATTAGTGAGTATGCCTTCCTGGTTTAGCATTTAGTTGGTGCAGCATATAATGCAGATATAAAATAGCATCATTTTAATCAAGTTTTCATTCCCCTTTCCCATAGAGAAGTGTATATAAAGCAGTAGGTTTGGGCTCTATCCAGGGAGCAGATTAATTGGTTATAAAACATCGAGGCAAAAACCAGTTCAACAGTTACTTCCCTTGGAGTATTCTCTGATCCCGCTTCGTTAGCAAAAAGTTAGCAGGAGCTCTATGTGATTGCACCATTGCCCCGTACCAAGTAAGCACGAGCTACACTGAGATCTGGGCAACTGTGGACATCTGAGCAAAGCGATCAAGCAAAGAGCGATTTGTTTGTTCAAATGGATGGGGTGGTTATGCAATCAAAAAAATAATTACAGGCACACCGCCTCAAAACTTGTATGCATGGGCTAGTGTGCAAACAAAAACCTGTACAAAGTAGTATCCCCCCTGCTAGAGAGCTTACACACAGCAACTAAGAACACCTTTTAAAATTTATTTATTTATTTATTTATTTATTAAAAATTTCTGCAACCTAATGGTTTTGAGATTAATCAGTCCAGAAGCTACGGCATCCAGGTCGTTCCCTGTTTTGTAACTGAAGGCGGTTTCTAAATGAAGTTCTGAGATTAACATAAGATGCCAGCAGAGTAAGAAGAACAAGTATTTGATACCTGTTGATACATTACTTAGAAATTTGGAAATGCCATTCCACAGGAGGGACTAAGAAGAGTGGGACGATTTGACTTTTCCTATCTGAAGGCATTATTCTATGTGAACACGAAAGCAAGCATTAAAAAAGTATTCTGTAACATTTGATGTACTCATCTTCCCTGTACACACAAAAACAGACCCTAATCATTACTTTTCCCCTTTTGTCAGGGCTAAATTGTAGTGCAGAAAAGTTTGACCAATCTGTAATAAAGCTGTTCAAGGTGGAGTCAGGGGTCCTGACCCCTCTCCCTTTTAAGTACAATCAGGTATATAACATTGGTGTGGTTACACATAAAATTCCTCGTCTGGCGCTTCAGTTGAGGGGAAGTGAACAGATGAACCCAGTAATCTAATTTAATCTCATTCTCTTTGGTCTGCCTATAGCTGCTTCACTAAAAGGGCAACTACCTAGTGACAATTTGTCCGGAGTTTAAAGCAGCACGTGCATTTCTTAGTCTTGCTGGGAAAGTTTTACAGCACCCAGCCCAAGTTTTGGGACACAACAGCCACACTGTTCCTTGTATAAACTCGGTATCTTTGATAGCGTAGCCAAAATGCATCAGAACATCTCTCTGCGATACAGACAACTGCTGTTCTTGCTGGT